GGGATGGACTTTTTGAAAGAAGGTGGCTCAGTTTCGCGCCCTCCTCTCCTCGATGGTTCCAACTATGCCTATTGAAAAGCTCGTATGAAGGCGTTCATCAAAGCAATTGATGAGAAAGCGTGGCGTGCCGTTCTAACTGGTTGGACACACCCTATCACCAAAGATGATGCTGGAAAAGAAGTATTGAAACTCGAAGAAAAGTGGTCTATGGAAGAAGATTGATTGGCCAATAACAACTCAAGAGCATTGAATGTTATTTTCAATGGAGTTTATGCCAATCAATTCAAGCTCATTTCAACATGCGAATCCACAAGGGATGCTTGGGAGATTTTACAAACGTCACATGAGGGTATGGCTGCCGTGAGACTATCAAAGTTGCAAATTCTCACTACAAGATTTGAGAATCTTCGTATGCTTGAGAATGAAACAATTTCAGATTTCAATTTCAAATTGTGTGACATTGCTAATGAATCATTTGCTCTTGGTGAGAAAATTCCTGAGGAAAAACTGGTGAGGAAGGCATTAAGATCACTCCCTCGAAGGTTTGCTTACAAAGTGATAGCTATTGAAGAGGCCAAAGACGTGCGGTCAATGAAGCTTGACGAATTAATGGGCTATTTGCGTACTTTTGAGATGAACCTGAATGAAAATAAGAAGGAGAAGGAGAAAAGCATTGCTTTTCAAGCCGAAGTTGAAGAAGTTGAGTCTGATGATGAAAAGGACTTAACTGAGTCCATAGCACGATTATCGAAGAATTTTAACAAGGTGATGAAGAAGTTTAATAAGAAGAACAAAAATACAAGCTATGACAACTTTAGCAATTTTCAAAAGAATAAAGCTGCAACAAGTGGTACTGATTTCAAGACAAACATAGGTATTCAATGTCCGAATTGTGATGGATACGGGAACATTCAATCTGAGTGTGCCAACACTCTAAAGAAGAAGAAGAAGAAGTCTCTGAATGCAACGTGGAGTGATGAAGACTCTAAAGGCAGTCCGGAGGATGAAGACCATGTGAGTAACTACGTTGCTTTTTAATGTTTATACTGATCAGGATGATGTTTCTATCAGCAGTGTTGCAACACTGCCTGTAACAGATTCTGTGAATAGTGAAAACGAAGGAGATTTTTTAGATTCTGAAAGTAACAGTGATGGTGAGGAGTTTACTATTGATGCCATACAAGAATCCTATAAGACCATGTTCAGTAAATGGGTTAAAGTGTGTTAAATAAATAAGTCTCTACGAGAGCGTGTCAATGAGCTTATCAAAGAGAATGATGTGTTGAAGAGAGCTGTTGATAATTATGAATTCCTTGCTACAGAGAGAGAAAAGAAGCTGAAGGAAACAAAGGCTGAATTGGAGAGCACCCAGAAAAATTTGAAAATGATGAATTCTGGTACAAATAAACTGGAACATATTCTTTCACTGAGAAAATCAAGTGGTGATCGTCATGGCCTTGGATATACTAGGGAGAGCTCAACATCCAAAACATTGTTTGTGAAGGAGACGCATGTCCCTAAGCCTCCGACTATCCCTAATAAAAAGGTTATCATTTCACCCTTTCAACGTAAAAGATTTGTTCTCATATGCCATTATTGTGGTTTACCTAGCCACATAAGACCAAGATGCTACAAGTATTTAAATGCTTTAAAAAGAAGTATGATCATTAATCCACCAAATTTCGCATTCTTAAGAAAGACACATAAAGCAAAGATTGATGTGCAAGACAAATTTCCTAGACGTGTGTGTGTAAGGAAATTTGATTTGAGGTGTCATAGAGTCTATACTTCTTTAGAAGCATGTACTAATGATTGTGGGTGTAGTAATGTTGGTTGGTCCAAGCATTTGACAGGTGATAAGAACAAGATTCATAGAGTGTTGAATTCAGGAGGAGTAAGATAGAGAGAAGATTCAGGGGGAGAGATTTGCAGAGATCAATGACCCTGAAAGATAATCTGCAGAAAAGTGTTCTATCAGGTGTTGCAACACTTTCTGCGACAACAACTTCTAGAAGGTTTTTCTATTAGTATTATTTTTACTTTTGGCTATTTTTTGTCTTGTGTCATATGTAATCAGTCAAAGAACAATTTGTTTTTTTGAATTTCTTGTCATAGGTTCTTATGTTAGTTTTGCCAAAAATGCCAAAGGGGGAGATTGTTAGGACTTTTGTTAGTTGGCAATTTTTGGCAAAAGGTTGTAACAACTATGGAGATTCAATCTCTGGATTTTTACACCAGATTTGGAATGTTTGACATCTCTTGGGTTGATTCTTTCTATAGAAGAAGGCAAGCTTTTTGAGAATGTAATTCTAGAAGGTTAACTTTGGTTATGTGATTGGTTCTGTTTTTTGGAAAGTATTCTTTTGGGGATGTAATTGGTTGTATATGTGGTCATCGTGGAAAAAGGAAAGAAGTAGTGAGGGTGGCTGATTTTGTGCATTCAGTGGGGTGAGTATTTTGGGATGATAGTGTGATGTACGTGGATGGTTTTGTGTAGAATAGAACCTGCAGAAAAGTAGTGTTTCGGTGATGCTTAATTGGTGATTGAACGATTTGGCTTTTTGAAGAAACTTGCATCGCTTTCGGGAGAAAGCTTTCGAAGTCGAGTGGCGCTCGCAGGATATAGCCACTAAGAGGATTCTACACAGCGGCGACGACATCAAGGAGGGAGTCTTTGAGTGTGTAAGACCGATTGGTGATTGTAATTCTTTGAACTTAGTGGATTGTTCACTGTCTGGGTGTGGCCCCACTGATGTAGGTGTGCGCACTGAACTGCGATATCATTTTTGGTTGTCTTTCATTCTTTTCTGTACTATATTCTGTTTATGCACGTTTTCAATTCATTGTCCACTGATTATCTCTGAACATGATAGTTGATTGCAGGTGTTGCTAAAAGTGTTGTAACATTCTTTCTAACACATGCGTGAAAACAGACCTAACAACAACAAAGAAAGTAAAAGTTTTTAGAATGTGTTGAGTTGGTATCGATGGAAAGCAAGAAAGGATTGTCTCAAGATGTGGTTACTAGATGGAACTCAACTTACCTTATGCTTGGCAGTGCTCTTTTTTATCGATGTGCTTTCTAACATTTTGAATTAAGTGATTCTAACCATAAGCGTTGTCCCAATACCAATGATTGGGAATTTGATAATTATTAAGTGCTTTCCAACTTACCTTATGTTTGATAATTATGTTTAGGAATTTGATGATGCTTCAAGTGATTCATCTTATGCTTTAAACCAAAAATAGCAGTTAGAATTGTATTTGGATGAACCTAGAATGAAAAGGAGCTATCAGTTGGATATCCTCTCCTATTGGAAGACAAAACAGTACCGATACCCAATCCATTACTGCCATGGCTTGTGATATCTTAAGCATTCATGTACCAATAGTAGTTTTAGAGGCCGCATTTAGTGTTGGCAATCGTGTGCTTGATCAATTCCATAGCTCTCTTAAGCATGACACTGTTGAAGTAATTGTGTATAAGAGATGGGTTGTATGGGAATGAAGGTATATTCTTCAAGTTCTTTATTATTTGATTACTTAAATATTGTTACTCTTATAAATACTAATTATTTAAACCTTTTTACCTAGATGGAGTCAAAATACTTGATAAAGATATGGAGGAGCTCATAAAAAATGTGGTGGATCTTAACATAGATGAAGTGAAAACTGTTAACTAAGCTTCTAACTTTGGATGTGCTTGACTTAGGTCTTTATTATCATTGTGTAATGGTGTTTTGCTTGATTTGAACTCTGTGGTTGTTGGGACTTTGTTATGTAAATTCGATGTGTTATTTTCTTTTGCATGCATTTAAATTTTGTTGTTGTTAGAACTTTAGTATCTAGATTTGATGTGATGAGCTATGTTATATTCTAGTAGTATTATGGCATTTTGAGGTTGGGCTTGTTATTAACATATTTGCCTATGGTATGGTCGAATTTTTGTTATATTGATATTGAGCATGTGGTTTTATCTGATGATATTTTTTTATGAAGTATGAGCTATGATATTTATTAAATATTATTATTTTACTAAGATTTTATCAATTATTGATATTTTTAACAAGTTATAAACAATAAGAACTTTGTAGAATGTATTAAAATCAAGAGTTTAGTGTCAATTTCTGTTCTATAGCTTCGTATCATTTCGTGCTTCATGGGTCAATCTCGTGTCTCGTGTCACTTTCAGTTCATTTCGTGTCAAGTTACGAGGTTCCCATGTCGTGTCCGTGTCACAGTTTTCATATTTTTTCGTGTCACGTGTTGTGTACTGATTGACTTAAAAAAGAGACGACACACTAAAAAAGCAACACGAACACGACACCCGCAACATGAATTACCATCTTTAGCATCCACGCCATGTTAGCAACAGTCTCAGTTCTAGGATTCTCCACCATGATGGATCTCTATCTCACCGATCCATTACTTGACAAGGAAAGTAGTGGTTCTTGTTTTGAGTATATACTCCATGATGATTTCCATTTCTTGGGTAGTCGTCTATGTGTTCCGGAGTCTAGTTTGTGCCTTTGCATTATTTGCGAATTCCATGTCGACGGACACGTAGGCCGCGATTGCACCTTACACTTGGTGGCTACTTCCAGCTTTTGGCCGATGCTACGTCAGGATGTTGAATGCTTTATGGAACGCTATTGTACCTGCCAAATGGCCAAGGGACAAGCTTCCA